CATGAATACCTTTACTTCTCATACGGAATATATTTCAAGAATTAAAACTTAATATGTCTGATTTAAAAAAGACACTTTGATTTATTTTTTATAATTCCTGGTTATGGGATTTATCTTAAATGTAATATTTGTTTAAGGGATGCAATCTGTCAGTGTAATATGCCAGTAAAGCTTAAATAAGGCTGAAATAGAAATCCACATGTAGAAGTTAACTTGATATATTATTTGATTTGACCGAGAGTTTCAATAGAGAAACAACACATTTTAAAGGTAGGGTAGGTAAGTTTGAGAAACCGGCTCGAGATCGCTAGAATTTGAAAATACACAACCGGAGAAAATCTGCCACTTCCTTACAGAGCCCCTCCTCCAACACACACGAACGCGCACATGACCAATGAGGGCACGAGATAAGTTTGTGCACAGATGGAAGGCTGACAGGCAGGTAGGCCATCCAGTTATTTTAGCCGGGCCGGCTAAAATGATTGGTCGTACTTTTTACAGTATTACGGCTTCCACAGATGACCTTTTTTTATGGATTTTTTGTCAAAGCACTTAAGATATTCATTGCTATCGGGATGTTAAGAGCATTCCATGGAATATAACAAAAAGTGTATCTCGAGCCGGTTTCTCAAAGTTACCTACCCTACCTTTAAGCATTTTACCACTGATCAAACTTTCCTATCCAGCATTTTGTAAATTCGAAAGAAAATGTTTCTACAAAGATCATCATTTTTGAATATGTAGCTATTAAAAACCTCACTACATATGAATGTTAAATGAATGAGGCCTGCTTTATACAAATTAAACCCTTGTTATTATAATTTCATTAAACCTCTAGTCTATAGACACATGAGACCTTAAATAAAAGAGCGGGTGTGATACACTGCTTACTGCAGAACATCATGGTATCATAGCCTAAGCCTTTGAATTGTGTTCAAGCTATATATTCACCAGGTGTGGGAAGGCCCAGTATTGCCTTGTTAGCACATTGGCAATAGGCCGAGGATCAGAGATCATACCTCGTCAATATCTCTCCATTGTGCCTGTGAGAAAAAGCTGATAAAGACAGAGATAAAGAGAGAACAACTGTGATAACAAAAAATCTGATGAGAGAGAAAATGGTAAAGAAGAGAGGCAGATAAATTGTGGGAGGGAAATGTGATACATTTTCAAAAGGAAAGTGAGATAGAGTGTGTGTGTGGGGGGGGGAGTGAGGGTGAGAGACTGTGAGAAAGGTTGAGGTAGGCAGCAGGATGCGAACAAAACAATATCAGCAGAATAATTCCCTGACCTCACCTGACACAAACACACCCATACACACACAAGCAGAAACAGCTGCAAATACCCCCCCACTATGTACAGTCACAGATACATAGAACACCTGATGGGACACAGGCCATGTTTTAGGTCAGAGGTATATTTCACCATACTAAGTTAACTGGCTAATTCTCTTAATTCTAGCTTAGTTTTTATTTATTTTTTCAGATTTTTTTTCCAGTCTTCAATACTTTAGTGTTAATAATTATTTGGTGGCTCCAATGTTTTTTTGTTGAATGTGCAATGTAGAGAACAGCCGGACAGTTGGGAGGAGGGAAGATGAGGAGGCAGGTTTTGACTTTAAAGATAGTGATGGAGATTTTGAACCTACTGCTTCTCAAGAACATGGTTTTCAATTTAACGTGCTGAGAAAGGACCCGTCTGTTTCACAGTAATTTCACAATACACTTTCAAACCAATAATTTTATAAAAACCATTACCGCAATGAATTATGATACAGATTATTACAACTCCCCTTTGATTTCGTTTTTCAAACGTGGACATACATCACACTGCAAATCGACAGCATATAAATCTTATTTTAAATGTGATAGATTAGCCACAGTGGCTAATTGTGTGCTAACACACACTCATCAGTCATTCAAAAACTGGCTTTTAATGGGAGCAACCAAGAAAGGAATCCATCACTTTTTTCAAATGGCCTCCCTCTGCTACCTACCAGGAGGTTTGGGTTACTCTCAGGAATTTGTTAGAGTTGCATAATTATTTATTTCAAAATATGTTAGTTCTCCTTAATTGAAGAACTATTTACTTGTGTCATTCTGAAAACTCTTAAGAAAATGATCGGACACTTAGATTTTGTAAAGCATGAGAAAACACTTTAAGTTGTATTATCTACTAAACACTAAGATTATGTAAATCTAGTGATTTACAAATTGTATGTGTTTAAAAACAGTACTACAGCAGCTCTGTAGTTAAAAAAGTTAGGATGAAGAGGAAGACACAACCGCTGATCTTTTAAAGACCTTATCATTTACCTCTTTTTATTATTTGATCATAGTTGAAAGATATCTTTAATATCAGCAGGCACGGATCACATCACATTTATAATGACAGCGGTTATATGTAAATCATCAAGGCATATTCGGCTCTTACAATCCGAATATGCCTTTAGTTTAGTTCTGTGGTGGATACTGCCCTCTCTCCCATCATTTGTAATGGATAGTTTCTATTTTTAAATGCTGTCTCGTGTCCTCTCCCTCTCTGTTGGGGATGACCTTCCTGTTCTAAATATAGAAAAGGAGACACCTCTATCTGACGGAGGAAACTGCACAGTATAAGAAACCTTAGTTCTTTGAAGTGTATTTCCATTCATTTACAGTAAGAAACTCAATGTTGAAACCACACGTGTGCACACACAGATACACAAACTGCAATCTGCACACTTAGAATATAAAGACTATCAACGAGGTCCAAAGATTTTTCTGACACATTTGCTCCCTCTATCTAACATCTTTATTTTAATTAAACTTTAACACAATGTTAAACAAATATTAAATATTAAAGCTCTGAATCACATGGTTCAAAAAGGAGGAATGATGTATTCCTATATAACTACATGTGGGAATGTTTATAAAAGTCATTGTAATATTGCTAATTAAATATAGTAAACTGGCCCTGTGTGTCAGAGTGAAGAATAATGCCAACCAAGATGTTCAATGTGTTTATAATATCTTCTAGAAATAAAACATATAGTTTGTTTTTCTAGAAATAAAACATATAGTTTGTTTTTCTAGAAATAAAACATATAGTTTGTTAAACAGTCAAACTTTCTAATACAGTAGGATACTTTTACAGTTATGGTCTCTTTGGAGGAATGTTGTTGTTGAGAAGATGAAATTGTTCCAGCTTTGGTTGTAAATTTCATTTAATTTCAAACCTTTATTTATCCAGGTTGTATCCCATTGAGATCATTGATCTCTTTTTCAAGGGAGACCTGCTCAAGTAGGTTCCACATGAAACATAAAAACATAAACAGAACAACAAAAAGGACATCATACAGCATCATTACAGGGATTACAATTTACATAACTATCCACATGAACAGGTACCAACAGCATCCGATTGAAAATGAACCTGACACTTTGGCTTTAAGGTTAAAAAGTCAAATGACTCCCTCTGGAATGCAGTAATGTTATAAGAAATTGGGTTATTAAAGTGATGTGCTGTTCCCTGCAATGTGAACCTAATGCTGAACAACAATAAATGTATCATCTCTTTTGATTCCTCTCTCTCTCTCTCTCTCCAGGTGGTCCCGTCCCTCTCAGGTAAACGGCGCTCTGGAGTTTTATTCCCTCTTCCTGTCACCTGACGGTTCAGAGCCTGTGCTCGTCTATAACAGCTCAGAACTTTTTGAAGACCACACCCTGCGCGACCTTACCCCTGGAACAGCTTACACCATCACTCTTGCTGTGAGTCCCTTTTTCATCTGTTTCATTTGAAAGGTGAAATTCATATATTAAAGCATTTTTGTGTGTGTGTGTTCATGTCAGGCCTGCACAGGAGGTGGATGTATATTAAGCCCCCCCAGCCAGGCTCAGACTGAGGAGAGCACCCCAGAGAACGTTCCTGCTCCGCTGCTCACACCTCTGTCCCCACATGCACTCAACGTCAGCTGGACACCCCCTGATACACCAAATGGTGAGAGGAAACCCACTAAATCAACACAAACAGAGAGAATTTCCAATATATATATATATATATATATATATAAATAAACATTTATCAGCATTAACCTTCAGAACAATTAATTTTCTTTACTAAACACATCCAAAATCATATACATATGAACATGTTTTTATTATAAATTGAATCTAGATACAGACAAGTGATCTTAAACAGGTGAGCGATAAAACATGCAATAAAGGAGAAAAATGTAACTGACTCATGATTAGGAAACTTAAAGCTCAGCTGTTAATCTAAATACACAGTGTCAGTATTTACAAGACCCCAGAAATGATAAGATAAAGAGACCTCTACCATTGCCAGTTATACCGTACGTGTGACATAGAAACAGGGGAACGTTTTGCTTTGAGTGAGGGGGAATCACATGGGTGTTCAAGATTGAGATAAAACAGTAAGACAAAAAAAAACCTGATAGATAAACCATAAAGAGAGGGCATAGAGGACTCAGAGAGAACAGGGACAGAAACAGAGACGGGGGAGAGAACACACACATTTGAGGCTGAGACTAACGGAGAGCGGGAGTGAGAGGCCAGTGCTTCACCGAGCTCCTTTAAGTGGATGGAAAGTGCTCCCTTTTGACTGAATAGAGAACTGCAGGCTGGAAGCACATAGACTCACGGTGACTGCCTTCCTCTATCAGTGTTTTCTATTCTTCTTACCTCCATCTAATGCACTTGCATACAGTTTGAATTCATTGCACAGACTTTGACAGGATGCACTTGATGTATATTGGACGTGAATTTGAAATCTGACGAATGCTTTGGAACATCTAGATTAAAAAAAGTAAACATTTTCTGTGAGCAAATGTTTTAGTCTAAAGGGACTCAAAGTTACAATACATATTGATTATTAGAATTAATTCATCACTTCATATTTACTTAAATCTAGTAATGTGTTTCATAAAAAAAGTGCTCAATTTGTAAACCTTAAAATATTTAAAATAGTCTTAACTAGCAAACATGTAATACTTCAGTGTGCCATGTCTCATGTGCTTACATTGTTAAAACAATCTATACGTTTTATGTATTGTGAAAACATATGATGAACAAATGTAGCTTTTAATAGTCTAGTATGCAATTGTTTATCTTCCCTGTAAACATTAATGAGGACATTTGAGTAGAAAATGAAAGCAAAGCACTAAAAAACACAATTTAAAATCACTTTCAAAAGGCAATAAAACATGGGGACCCCTTACAGTATACCTTACTGGTTAAATCTGGACTCAGCAGTGGTTGACCTGCAAAGTTCCCAGTTGGATTCAGTCTGGGGCCGATGTTGCATTTCTCTCGGCCTCTTTTCCTGTCATCAATCTACTGTCACTAATGAAGGTCCAACATTTCCAAAAATAACTTTAAAAAGGCCTTGAAACACATTAAAAGTCACAGATAAAGTATATACATGGGAGTAAATATTACCAAAATGAATTAGAAGTACTTCAGTTAAATTAATCTAAAAATAAATAAAATGCAGTTTCTTTTTACAAATAGTACAAATATGAATTAAAAAGGACTATATTAACACATGCAGAACGTGTGAACCTAATTGAATTGAGTGATGTGAACCAACTGAGGATATCAAACACCATTTCACAGTCTCTAACATACAACGCACCGCCACATATTATCAAATATTACTGCCATGCTCGTTAAAGTATACGTAATTCTATGATGCATGTGTGTGTAATGTGAATCGTGTGTGTTTTACGCTTAATGCCACATAAGTGCATTTCGCACCATAAACCATGTGATGTGTGTGCATATTAGCCTGGATAAATTACTTAAAGCTTTTCTCATCTGATGACAGAAATTTACAACAAGGAGACACTTAATCATGATTACCCGATTATCTCATGCTTAAAAAGCTTTAATTTTTGCTTAAAGGAGGGCTCAGCGCCGTTTTTTTTTCATTCATTTACTCATTTTTTCACAAATGCGCAGCAACAATGACGATGATGATGGTGATGGGTTCCAGAGGAGTGAGATTCTGTCTCTCTCTCCCCCCTTCTCCCCAATTCCGCAGGGATTTGTGGGGGATAATCCTCTCGGGGATTAGGTCGGGGCAACACGCAGACAAAGAGGGGAAATAAGCCTGTTATGCATTCGCTGCTTCATTTCCCAACCTGTCTTTATTACAACCTATACTGATATGGGCTTATTCACACACACAAGCACACAGGCACGTCCGCACACATACACACGCACACACTCTCACACGCAGGTGATTGGCCACATTAAGAGCTCCCCAGATGTAGTTGGCGTCCGTGGGGTTTTTGTGTCTTCATTTCCCTGATAGGTGTGTATATCTGTATTGAGCAATAATAAAACCCACACATGATTAAAGCAGAATAGACTCTTAGTTCTTAGCACTGATCTTTTGAGCCCCCTGTATGCATTTTTATTAAGGAAAAGCACATTTGGCACCGTGCTGTTTCATTTTTTTCATTAGGTGGATGTAATGTAATGTAATTATTGTGCCTGTGTATATATGTGTGTATGGACATGTGAGTTTCCATCTTAGTGTGTGTGTGTGTATCATTGTGTGCCTGTAGGGAGGGCTCACCTATTTGCACCCACATTTCAGTGTGCGTGTTCGCTCCAGTTCTACTGTCCTTTAGAGGGTCTTTATCCTCGTAACGCCTATGGTTACATTTGTCGTTTCATTGCTGTTTCCATCATTGGATCACTCTAGGACACATTGACTGGCAGGTCTGGAGCCCCTAAGTCAGTTTCAATTTGCATTGTAATCCAATGACCCAGACTGCATCCCAACATAGAAAAGCTCATTTCGCATATCCTGGACACAGTCCCAAAATGTATGAGTGACCAATGGCAACAGTGCGTGAATAAAAACAAATACATTCTCATAACAAATTGTGTACCAAACTTTAAGACATAGAGACAAAGGGTTGTCTTGTCAAGTATTTAATAAAAATAGATACAACAAATTGGGACATTTTTCTTCAAATGTTTTGTTTTATTGGTCGTTTTCATCCGGGTTATCGTGTTTGTTGACTGATGTGTTTCAGGGCAGGAAATGAATGCAACATAATGGTTATTTTTACAATGTGAAGAGAGAGATGCTCGTGTAGAGTTAACTTCTTTTGAGACAATAAACCCTAAAACCTGTTGGCAGTCACCCAGTAACGCTCTAGTGGGACAGGAGAAAGGTTTGTCATTTTATGTTTGATTCCATATATTTTATTTTTATAATCAGACACCTTCTTTTGACAGGCATTATAACCAGTTATGGTCTCTGGCGGGATGGACGGCTCATTCTGAACTCCAGTTCCTCCCAGAGGTTCTTGGTGGTGGAGGGCCTCTCTCCGTGGAGCCGACATGTCCTCCGGCTGCAGGCCTGCACAGCGCGGGGCTGTGGCAAGGGGCCGATGGTCAGTAAACTTCTTTAAAGTAAACACTTATTAATTCATTTGATAAACTGTTAGATACATATTGGATATATTGGAAGATAGGTATGCTTTAAAAGTAGGGTTGCAAAATGCCGGGAATTTTCAAAGATGGAAACTTTCCATGGGAATTAACGGGAATTTATGGGAATAAACTGGGAATTTTCTAAATTGAAGGTTGGCTCTTCATAGGGAACTTAAATATAGTTGGGGAAAGTATATTTTAGCATAATCTTGACTAAAACAAACAGATGCCATTCAAGTACACTTGAATATCCATGCCATAGCACACGGCTTACTGCATGGCTATTGAGACCACACCCCCTACAGGCACTGTGCATTCCTCCATCACATGCACAAATTAGTAATATTTAACTCAACATTCCTGTTTTCGTTCTTCAATGAAACAAATAATTGTTCAATAAAATAATTAAAACTTGTTCTGTTATACTTAAAAAAAAAAAAAAGAATTAAAATTAAAAAAATCTGTTGAAATGTCATGTTTTTTGTTTAATTTTACATCGAATATTTCCAAAATTCCCCAGCTTAACTTCCCATGGAAACTTTCCGGAAATTTACCGGATACTTTCCGCCCCTTTGCAACCCTATTTAAAAGTCATTGCTGTGGCTTTTCTGCATAATGACCTTTGAGTAATCCGGAAGTGTTGGTAACAATCCTTAACATTTGTGAAAAACCTCTTATTTTATTCTTAACTTTGGAGCTCACTTTTCAGTGTCTTGCTGCATAGTATTTTTTCCACTTGAACTGTAGTCGTTGCTACTTAAAACACACGTAAAACTTTACTTCTCTATTTCACATTTTCCTTGAAACCCAGCAGCTTTCACAGCATTTGGAGCAGCAACAGTTAAAGCTCCATTAAATCCTCTATTGGCTGAATCATATTATAACTACTGGTGAAAAAACCCAGCCAAAACTGATATTTTTATGATGCATATTATCCCTGTAACTAGCCAACACACAGAAACATGGGCAGACATATGGGAATGCCGACTCAGGCATTTACCAAAGTGTATGTGTGTTGTGTGTCTGTGTGTGTGCGTGTCACTGAGCGTCATAAAGGTGATCGATTCTCCCGGCTCAATAACGAGGTTGGCGTGGCGGCGGTGACATTTGGTAGCAAATGCCACTCCAGGCTCAACGATGTCTCTGACGACAGGCCATATTTTGGGGCATTTTTCCAATACGGACGCCATATTTAGTCAAACATCAGTAGAACAGCTGACACCACAGAACAGGGGGACAGGAGAATGGGAAGGGGAGGGGTAAGAGCAGGATAAAGGGAGACAAGGAGAGGAAAGAAGTCAAGGGAAGGAGGGAGTTTAGGGATAACAAAGTGAAACGATGAGGAGAAAATGGTCAGTGCAAAGTAAGAAGATGAGGTGAAAGGAGACGATACAGAGAGCAGCAGAGGCGGGGATAACAAGAAGAAATGAGTCTGAAGAATCGATTGTTGAGACGGTTGAAAAAAAAGAGGAGCAGTGTGGATTGAGAGAAAAGATAATATGATTGTGGCAGAAGAAAAAGAAGAAAGGGGGATTACTAAAAGTGCTTAAAATACTACAAACAGTAGTAATGTGGGCCAGATGTGATGTGATGACCCATATCGAATAGGGACAGATTCCATTTAGCAGTTAGATGGATGAGGTTAAATACTGTGTATAGTTCATAGATGCACTTGCTACAAGTCTGCTTTTGTGCTTATGGAACTACGTTTATATATTTATTCCCTTTAAATCAGGTGGAGATACGTACATTACAGACAGCCCCAGAAGGCCCCATACTGCTTGAACTGACCAATCAGAGCTCTCGATCCCTCCGAGCCCGCTGGACAGCCCCACCTAGACCGAATGGGAACCTCAGCTACAAACTGTACTACAAAAGCAAAGGTAACGTATACAGCCATGCTCTCATTCTCTAAATCACATACAGTACATATTTACCAGGCGACAGATATTCAGAGTAATATATTCTGCATTTTCAAATTCGACTGCATTTATCACACATTTGCTATTTACAACACAAATGTAGATTATGCCTTTTTAGGAAAGCTTCAATTGTTCATTAAACCCACTACATTTTCTGTGTGGCTGCACTACAATTCTAGCTATGCATTATACACATTGCTGTTGAGCTTTCCTCTAAAAATTAAAACTTTAATCGTATTATTTGAAGGAAATTGCTGCATGGGTTAAAATCCTCAAAATGTTCTGGTAGTTGTATAACCTGTTGGGCATGACTGCTTGTTGCCCCTTCTCCTTTGCCCACGTGGTCAGCTGCAGGGTCTTCAGGAACCGCCATTCCTCCATGTTTCAAACATCTCCTGGTGGTGGAATATGGATATACCTGCAACCTCCAAAATTACTCAAAAGCTGCTCTCTCCGCCTCCTCTGCCATTTCCTTTGTCTCCTTCATCTTTCCCCCTAGCACCCTTGCATCCCTCCTCAGCTGTTTGTCTTTCAGCCTCAGGATCTAACCTCCAGTGGGAAGATGGTGCTCCATCCAGCGTCTCTGCACTTCCATAAACACTCCTCACCAACAATGCCGACTTAGACTGAAAGTCAGACATGAAATGGGGAAGTGAAGGAAGGAGTAATAAAACCAGAGTGGTGTAGAAAAGACATGTTTACTTCTTATTGACAGTGACTTGAGGGTAGAGATGAGATAAGATCCAAGAGCAAAGCAGTGGTATGAAGATGGAAGGAAGATCATATTGGTATACAGAGAGAGGAGAGATGAGAAGCTTCCATAGATGTATTAAAAAAGACTTGCAGTAAAAACAATACCTGAAGAACAACAAATCAGCGGACGAGACTTAACAAAACAAAAAAATTAGACATGGAAAGAAAGGGGGAAGAAGAAAATTGAACAAGATGAGAACAGGAGTATGGGGAAAACAGCAGAACACACAATCATCCATTAACTCACACATATTCACCAGGTCTCTCTCTCTCTCCTCTCAGACACACACACACACACACACACACACACACACACACACACACACACACACACACACACACACACACACACACACACACACACACACACACACACACACACACACACACACACACACACACACACACACACACATTCGGGGACTTTGATCTGCTCCTCACAGAGGAAGAGTCAGATTGAAATGAGTGGAGAGAAAGATAGAAGAGGTGTGGAAGAAAAAAGATGGTGTTTCGCTCTAGTTACCCACAACCCCTTGACTACACACTGCCTTCATCAGTTCACACAAAACTGATATGCGAGTGTGTGTCCATCTAAATATATGGGATAGGCTTACGTATTGTAATTTTCAGATCTTTCTGCTTTGACTATCCTTGCATAACCTCAATATGGAGACCCCTCTGTTTTGATCACTCTCAGTTAATCTCAGTCAGTATTCCCCTCTCTTGAACTCTCACACATTCTCCTCCTTTTTCCCCGTGTTGTTGAATGTATCTTTTATGAATCACCCTTTTTTCTGGTAATGACTGTAATCAATAAATGTGCCAGAGATTAACGACTCAATAGATATAAATACTGTGTTTGGACTAAGACCTTACATGTCTTCCTTTTTGTGACTGGGCTTCTCTTAGATGGTGATGGTGTGGTGGATGGGAGCACAGTGGCTGACAGCTGGTTGTCTGTGACTGATCTACAGCCGTACACTAACTACAGCTTCTGGATCAGAGGTTGTAACACACAGGGTTGTGTTGAGAGCCTGCCACTCAATGTTACTACAACCCCAGCAGGTAGAAATGCCAACACTCAAACACTGTACATTAAAGGTGAACAGCACCTGACTACACCTTACATACTGGATTTCTGTACGCAGACTTTTGATCAGAATCATACTTAGACAATTGTTTAACAGTGAGATTATGGCCTCCAATTTAAGGCCTTTTGTCATCCATCTAATTGTGTATGATCTGATTTAAATAGCTGTATTGTAGCTTTGTTTCTAACTCTACAGACAAGCCATAAACCATTGTCACATGTTTATCTTATTAATCTAAATTTGATTGCTGTTGTTACGAGCTGGAAAGATTAGTTTTATATCTTTGCTATGCAGCAAAAGAAAAATGTATTCAATGAGTAGCGGTGGCAAACACAATCACACACTCCCACACACATTGACACAGTGACTTTAGTTAATGATCCGAACACATATTTTAGAATTACATCGTGTGTGTGTCTGTGTGCGTTTGTAATTGTGTAGAATAGAGGCTGATTTCGCATACTGATAAATGTCAAAGCTGATCAGAGCATTCTGGAGATATGGTAAGCAGGCAGCAACACACACACCTATAGACACACATTTTATCAGTTAAGGTTATGTTATCAACAGTGTTGAATACACACTCATGTCTCAGTCAACAAAAGACAGACTTCGGAAAGTTCTACTGTTCAAGTTCAAAACAAAGGCATAAGAAAGTATAAATTTTAAATACCAGACGTTTCCTCTCTTTCAATCTCTCTTTCTACCTCTGTGCCTCTGGCATCTCTTTAGACTTCTTTAAGGCAAACTGTCTTGATGCATCCTTGTTCCATGAAAGAACAGAGAGAAGATAGTGGAGCAAGAGACAGAAGAGCAGAGGAGGAGGAGAGCAGAGAGAGAGAAGTGAACATAAAAGTGCATAGTTTAAAACGATTAGTGACACCTCTGATATTGTACCTGCTAACACCGCATGAGAGAGACACAGGCTCACCAACTGTGTGTGTCTTTGTGATGTATGTGTTTTGTTCGCGCGTGTGTATGTGTGCGTGCATGCGCCTGTGTGTCAGTGAGGAATCAACGTGTGTTTCAAGAATTACACACACGCTCAGGGAATGACAATTTAGCTGATCTACAAAAGGGTCTTATTATAAAAAGGTAGAAACTGGAAAATGGGCTTTTAATAATTTATTTTAAACTATACATCTATCTTATTCATACAATGATGTATGAAATCCTGTTAGAGCAGTACAATTGTATATATTAAGCAGATCCTATACAGAAATAATTAAACATCATCAATCATTATGAATGCTCAAATATTTCTACTGTTTTAGATCTACTTGTTGCTGGCACTTTAAAGGAGTACAGTCAATCTATGTTATAATATAATATATATTACACTGTTGAGAAACTGAGAGTAAACAAAGACAGAACTTACTTATAAACCCCAAAATACTGGACAATGCAGGCAACAAATGAAGCCTAGTCTTGCGCCACTTTTGTTTCAATGTTTCTGTTTCCAAAGCTATCCTTCTCTGAACAGATTGATGGGTCAATAACTCTTTAAACCCAACAACTTACACACAAATATACACAAATGCATCTGTTGAATGTGGGCCTTTTAACAAAAACAAAAATGCACAAAGACTGACTGAGAGACACGCATGCACACACACTTTGTTGGAAAATAGAGTGTTTGTGTCATGTTTTTATTTAAAAGTGTGTTTCTGTGTATACACTTCGATGCTCAATGTGATTTGTAATTTAAGTTGGTGAACCACTACTAATATCATATCGAACACTTGTTCAAAGAGCATTGTGAGGCTGTATCCACATGCTTGATGTGTGTGTATGTGTCTTCAGAGTAAGATGTCTTCAGCAATCAGTCTTGTTGTAGTGGATGCATAGTGTGTGTTTGATTGAAGGGTCACTTTATACATCGGAGGGCCTACTCTTATTTCCCACGGTCAACACTACAGCCACTCTCATTTTCTCCTTCTATTTGTTGTCCTTATCTCTTTCTTTTTCTGTCTTTTCTCACATCTTCTCTGTCTCTGATAAGAGCATGGATATCGTACTGAATCAGGATGTTTTTACGGATTTTCCAACACTAGCACTTTGCTATCAGTGTCAGCTGGAAAGGAGGGGCGCTGTTGAGAGAGCGGGGGTCAAACAGCTGTGTGTGTTTGTGAGTGTGTGTGTATATCTGAGAGAGTAGAAAAGAGAGAGAGCCATGTTGAAGTGGTTGTATACGCCCAAATCTGGCTGCTCTTTGTGGCACTTTAAGCTTCCTTTAGAGTAACTTTTATTTTATTTTGCGGTTGTTTGTTTGGCATCGCTTCTTTCCATTTTCGATAAAAGCAGAGAGATTTATAGATGGAGAGCAGGTAGGATGCAGATGATCAATGAGAAGTATATCAATATAAAAGTGGTACCTTCTATAATCTACTTTCCTTGGGATTTGTTGTATACTTCAACGGTTCTCATTCAATCTCTCCATCCCCCTTTCATTTTCCTTCGTCCATTCTTCATTACCTGTTCCTACTTTCTTTGTTTCCTTCACCATCCCGTCTCTCTCTTTCTCTTAAAGCCCCAGATGGGTTGTCGCCTCCCAGTTTGACCCATGCAACTAGTTCCAGCCTGAATGTTTCCTGGTCCGCTCCTGCCCACTCCAACGCACCGGGCCCACTCCGTTACAGCCTGCAAATGAGGACATCCCCTCAGAGGCCTGGTGTAAGGTGAGAGAGAGAGAGTAAGATGTATTTAGACGCTAAACAAGTGGATACATTTGGACACAGTTGTCCACAGCACATGCCAGTGGTGTGAGACAGAGGCATGCGATAATAAATGGCACTAAGAGAATGACAGACACATACAGCACTCTCAGATATGTATCGCATATATACGCACCTTAAAAAATGTGTACACACTCATATGCATACACATGTACATATAAAGGGCTACATTATACAGCACATCTGAATATGTCACATCAACATGACAGACCATCAGAAACACAGAGAGGAATTGAGCATGAGACACGGGGGGTAGAGTCAAAAAGACACAAGAAAATCAAAGAGCAGGGCAGAGAGAGGTAGAGAAAATGTGATAGAATAAAAAGAGAGAGCGGGTGTGCATCTGATATGTATTCATTACATGCTTCCTGACAACAAATTGCAATTTAATCCAAGAAGAGGAGGCTCTCATTCTGTGGTAATAAATAAATGACTAGCTACATGTATTATATATCAGACAGCCATGCCCTCCTCCTCCTCTGCTATGGAAATCTCATTGTTCCCTGATTTATTCATTCATTCATCCCTTCTATCCATCTGATGCTAAATGGTCAACGGTCCCTCATTTATGACAATATTCTTTTATTTTGTCCCAGATTCCTTTGTAGGGTTATAGATAAGGGTTCAGGTATGAATATAATAAAAGCTGTACAAATACTTGACATGTTTCCAATTAAATGACTGTTAAATTACCTTAGGAAACTTGTCCATTGACACTTTGATAACATTACATCTGAAGTACAATTCATTTAGAAATACACATTAGAGCACACCAAACAGAAACAACATACGTGGAAAGTGATATGATTGAGATGTATTAGTCTTTAACACTTTCAGAAAAAAAACTGCGATATAGAGTTGCCACAAAATCTTCGGTAAAAAAAACGTTTGATAATGAATATAAATTAACCACTTTGTTATTCATATCTGTGCTATATTTATTCACTACCTTTGCATCTCGGACCAAAATTCCTTCACAATCCACCCTTAAATGGTCACTGCATGTACACTATGATTCGCTAAAACCAAAAAAAGGGTTTCTCCATGTTATCAGCAAAAGTACAGGTCTGTTCTATATTTTAATGTTGTGTAACAAAAACATGCAGTGTTAAATGTCTGGCTAGCAAATGTCATTGTAACCATGAACTGTAGAAATGACATTAGCTGACCAACACATCCTGGGGAGCTGTCCAGCGCTGAACCTACATAATTAGGGATTCAAGAGCAAAAACAAGACATGAGGGTTAAAGTTTAAATATAAATGTAGAAATTAAGGCAGTAACAAATATTTGTGCTCAGGACAAAGGGTATCCATAGCAATGGTAAACTACACTTTGCTAAGTTCAGTCAGACAACTCACGTGTTCTTAATATGTTAATATCACTCCACAGATTTACAAAGAACATTGAGTGATGATTAGATAACTATCCCCTGAGCCTACAGGTGGAAGCTGGGGAGGTGGTGGGGCAGGCAAGCAGCAGCAACATGAAACACAGCAGGAACATGAACGTAGCAATAGCAAGTGAACACAGCAGTAGCAGCATAGCGAGGCAGAGGCAGGAAGACCTGGCAGCTTAAATACAGCGGCATGTTTAGGAGAATGTGTTTGGTTGGTTGTAAGACTAGGGACGAGGTGCGTCACATGTTAATGTATCATTGGTGCTCGAGTTGACTGCCTGAACTAGCTCGCAGGCTTCGCCCCATTAGTGGTGAAAATGTGTTTTCAATAACATTTTTGTCGTCACAGTGTCAAGTCTTGCTAGGGATTCACCTCAACTGCTTGGATTCACATACAAAAATAAACCCTTTTCTTGACAGTAATAATACAAATGATTGATTGACTAATTAATTGAGACGTATTTTTCAGCAAATGTATGTTTCTCTCCTTTGACTCTTAGGCTTGTGGAAAACGCAACAGACACCTTTTCCTACCATGTAGAGGGCCTCTCACCGTTCACCCAGTACGTGTTCAGAGTTGTGGTCTCACACACTCATGGGCAGACAGTCGGCCCCTGGGCCACCCTGCGCACCGCTGAGGACAGTAAGTAGACTTACAGACACAAGTGCACATAAGAAAAACCTTATTCTCAGAGGCATGCATTTGTTTCAATGCACACATGCTCAAGAGACATTTTAAATAACTATAAAAAAGAGGAACTAACTTGTTGGTGGTCGTATAAACACTCAGCACTGCTGTTATATAGAGTACCTGTTGCCATTGTTTTTTTCACAATGAATTGTGCGGCCTGGGTACTTGTGTCAGCCAAGTTTTGCAAGTGACTGGCTGGCAGGTGGCTGGCAACAGCTGGTTATTAGTTGGCCTCTGCCGTCAGTTGGCTGTTTGTGTGCTGAGTCAAAGTTAAAGTCCGGGTTTTCCAACAGATCTCCTGATTTTAGGTGATGATCTGAACAATAGGCTTGCACATTAAACATATGGCCTTGGAAAAGCAGGGCCTCTGCCCAGGCTCTCTTTTATTCTCTGAAAGTCTCCAGGGTTTTATTTCATAAAAGTGTATTACTTCCTTGCTGTTGGAGGTGGTCAATCAATTAGAGAAAATTAGGAAGAAAGACAGAGACCGAACTTATTAAAAATGAAATTTAGGGAGAAGCAAGTTAGAGTGAAACACGCTGACAGTGAGATTTGCATACTCTAAGGTGTGTGTCTGTGTGTGAGTGACCTAGCCAGTGTCATTGTGGGCTAATTGCTGTAATAGAATCATATTAGCCACTGGAACAGCCTCCTCAGTGCAAAGTTATAAATTAATTAGTACCACGCTATTATCACATACATTATCATTAAGCAGCTGAGATTTGCATACATAGGATACATGTGCATGTATACACACAGAAATGTGTATGTTCACATGTATGCGCGGTGTATGCTATACATAAACACATTCACATGGACACAACACCGATGCATGCACACACAAATGCAGACACACAATTGCAGACATTTAGGATACGTAAAATTATAGCCCATATGCTTTTCTCATTGCTATTCAGAATTGATTTCCCTCCAGCAAACACGCACAGAGATACACACACACATACACACTCCTTCTCAAACATACTGAGCTTTTGTGTAACACATTCGTTCATGTTTTTAACCATCATAGATAAGTTGGGCAGTTTACGCTTGTGAGTTTTCATGCGAGACTGAAAGGTGCGTGAATCTACAGCCCTCTCTCTCTCTGTGTGTGTGTGTGTGTGTGTGTGTGTGTGTGTGTGTGTGTGTGTGTGTGTGTGTGTGTGTGTGTGTGTGTGTGTGTGTGTGTGTGTGTGTGTGTGTGTGTGTGTGTGTGTGTGTGTGTGTGTGTGTGTGTGTGTGTGTGTGTGTGTGTGTGTGTGTGTGTGTGTGTGTGTGTGTGTGTGTGTGTGTGTGTGTGTGTGTGTGTGTGTGTGTGTGTGTGTGTGTGTGTGTGGACAGACAGTAATAGATGTGTCCATTCGGTCACACTGTGCCCCATCGTTCAAACCTCCATCCCTCTCTCTGCCTCTCTCAGGCCCCCTCACACACACACATACACAGACACACTGAGAACATGTGTCATACACACACACCGCCTTGTCGTCCGTATCAATCACACACCTCCTCATGCTCACAAGCAATAACACATAATCATGAAGTTTCATGCAGACGAGGCTCATCACTAAAGCACGTACACACCCTCTGAGGCTGAGACAGTTTAAATTGTAAAGAAAAAAACATACGAACACTTTACCTTTTATGCTGCCGACTTCCATCTCTGTTTATATGGAATATACGTTTAAACAAATCTACAAAATAAGACATAACCGCGCATCTATAAGCATAATCTGTTTCTGATTCTGTTAAATCAATCATTCTAATAGACGTAGAGTACATAATACTACATGCGTCTTTTTTATGATTATGATTATTTATTTTTACATAATAAGAGAATACATGATAGGTGCGGAAGCTTTTAATCAGAAGGGATTTAAAACCATGACAGGAGAAAGCTAAGTGCGGCCCGATTGGGTTTTGCATTGATGTGTAATTTGTCGCCATAAACCCACCCTCTCTTCATCGTGGCAGTGATAGGAAAGGAACAGATGCATTCCTCTCCTAATCTTCTCTCCCACATGCTTGAAAAATATTAACTGTAGAAAGCATTTTACTCTTTGTATTCAGTATAATAGCATTTATCGTATGACCAACAAACACACATTCATTCAAGTTACATGTAGGTAGATATTAATATGCATTTTTGGAATTCGGTGCTTAGGAATTGTCCCCTTTTGGAGTTCCCATAAACCTGATCTGTTGTAGTTGTAAGATTGCCACTTTGTTACTAAACTGTTAATAATATATGGCTTGTTGACATGGACCTTTATTAACAATATGGATTTGAGTATATGTTCACCTCATTAATTTGATCCCTTCTCGCTTTTATGGCTGTTTTTATTTTTATATATATGTTTTATTTCCTCTGTCTTTCTACTTTTGTCTGACCTCTTCCTTTTTCCTTCTTTCGCCAACTCTTTGTGCTCAAACATGAAAGACAGTGCAGGTTTTAGCTCTTGTATTTGACGGACCAGCCCTTAAGAATTTACAAGTGATAGAAGTGATGAGAGATCGAGGAGAGAATATTGAAAAGAAACAATATAAGAAATGGAGAGAAAAAATGGTCTGAAAAGAGAAATGGAGGGGGCAAAAAGGTAAAATGAGGAATTGTGGAAAAGACAGGAAGAGAAGAAAAGAAAAAGGCTAATGACAGAACAGAGAAAGAGGGAGACCCACGCTTCCTCCTTTCCTTTTTATCATTCCATTAAAGTTTTATATCCATCTTTTTAATGTAATTTGGTCCCTATGAATTCCTGCTGCTGCAGAACAGACAGACGGCTCCTGTGAACATAAACTCTAGCCGTGTTGGACAGCTCCCTTTCCTCTGTCTACTCCCATGTTCACACAGGCCCAGTGATCTAAGAGTGTGTGTGTGTGTGTGTGTGTGTGTGTGTGTGTGTGTGTGTGTGTGTGTGTGTGTGTGTGTGTGTGTGTGTGTGTGTGTGTGTGTGTGTGTGTGTGTGTGTGTGTGTGGTGTGTGTGTGTGTGTGTGTGTGTGTGTGTGTGTGTGTGTGTGTGTGTGTGTGTGTGTGTGTGTGTGTGTGTGTGTGTGTGTGTGTGTGTGTGTGTGTGTGTGTGTGTGTGTGTGTGTGTGTGTGTGTGTGTGTGTGTGTGTGTGTGTGTGTGTGTGACTTGTGTTATGGGAGTATGAATAAAGCGCCATTTTTGACAAAATGATCTTAGCAGTCTAGAAAGTGTGTGTGTGCGAGAGAGAGAACATTAAAGAAGCACTGTTTTACTTCATTTAATTTAAAGCAGAAAGTGTGAGAAAGAAGACGTGTGAAAGAGAAAAAAAAAAGAAATTAGGGTAGAGGTAATGACAGGACACAAAGAGTCCCTGTTATTTAATGATTGAGTGACTGCATTAATAAAATCGTAATAATCCTACCTTTTCTCCCAGAATTCAGTTAGTGTTCCCAATGAAATGTGGAAGTAATGTTAACACAATCCCATTGCTATTTTGCATATCAAGAGATAACTTGAATATTTTAAGTACAGTTTTATATTCTCATTGTATGTACCTATATTTGCACATTGCTCTTTTAAATATACTGTAAGAACCAATATAAAAATAAACATGTCTGGTAATTCCTCACCAGTCACATATCTTCCGTAATATTTTGAGAATGTCTTTACTCAGGTTCCCTTATAAATCTAACCCACACCAACATATTTCAACATTTTATTTTGAAAGCCATATTATACTGTGAACTTTATTTTTTCTTTCTGGAGTACATAAATACATCAGAAGGTTATCTGGAATTAAGTAAATCACTCAAAGTAGTCAGTGTCTGAGAAGGGTATTGAATATTTTGAGTGATTGATGTTTCAGCTATTGTGATGGTCGTAGTTACTTAAAGGCTAATGTACTTCTCATATGTACTCAGGATGTTATGGATACAAATCAAGCTCATGACCTTGGTCATGCATCATCCTCTTTCTGAATGCCTTTTCAGCGTCTCCTAAAGCAGCCATGATATTAAATAATCTGCAGAAAAAGTAAAGATATGAAATGCAATGTAAATTCCCGCCGTATTACTTGTCACGTTTTGACACCGCGTCGTAAGCATCTTGATTACACTAAAGCTCAGCGTTTGTCCTCATTATGACTCCGAGGAGCCTCGACTCACCTTCAAAATCCCAGTCACCCACATACACACATGCCCACAAACACATGCACACACAGGGCCCTGTGCGGGGCTAAAAATAATACCCTTCCTTTTCCCGTCACATGGATACTCACAGATGTACACACTTACATCTAAACAGGCTCTTACATACAAACATAAGCCCACAAATATGTACAAAAAGCTACGTAACATGTAGACAAATCCACATGCAGACAAACACACACACACACACACCCATGGACACACACTCCTTCCTCCCTCCCCCTCTCCCAGCCCTTGTCAGTTGATTGTGTTATTACTATGCTAACCAAATCCTTATAAATGTGATTTAAGGCTTGGCGGCCCCGCACTCCTGTTTTAGCCTTCTGCTACTGTGTTTTACTGGAGAGAGGAGGAGTAACAGTGGGAGGTGTGGAGGGAGGAAAATGGGAGAGGGTAAGGAAGAGATAAAGGCATAAGGAATGAAGACAAAACACAAAGGGGGGAGAGAATAAGTCAGTGGGAGACAATGGAAAAGAAGAGGAACTGGAAAAGGGAGGATGAGTTGAGCGGGACAGAGAGGAAGAGGGAAAAGGAGTTAAGGAGTCAGGAAACCATAGAAAGAGAGCGGTTGCTACGCATTCCCTCAACACTCGTTCCCTTCTATCCAGAGAGCAGTAAAGCGTCAGTAAAAAAAAAAAAAGGGAAAAAGCATCACCTGCATCTTAAATGAAAATTTCAATTGAAAAACTTAACAGCCCTTCAAATTGCAGAATTTTACACGCGCCAGTAAAGCCTAAATAACACTCAACACTTAGATGGAGAGGGGGAGGGGAGGAGAGCAGGAACGAGGGAGGAATCGAGGGGTGACAACAGCGGTTATTTTGGGTGGTTGACGGGGGCTGGATGAAGGTGACTTGATTATGTTTCTGCAATTTAGGATTTTCCTCCGCAGTCTTCTTTTTTTGGATCTCTTACCTGTGTGTTTTTTTTACGTCTGTTGGAAGAGACATATTCTGATCAGACAGACACAAGGAAATAAAGTTAGATAAACATTAGGAGGCTGAATTTCTAATTAATTTGACAAACACGTAAAAAGGCTCCTCAGCCGTCGCAAAGCGGGCAGAAAGCAGTGAGGCGCGCAGACAGGCCGGCAGATAGGCACATGGACAGACGGGGAGACGGGCTCCTTGGTTATTCGTGGGGTTCAGTGGACCTTTGGTGGTAATTGAATCAGTGTGAGTGCTGAGTAGAGCTAGCATAAAAACCTGTTAACCCAAAAGGTCAACTCTCTGCATTGTTTATTTAGCAGGGAGACCAGAAAGGGAGAGAGCGAAAGAGGGAAAGAGACCGCCACACAAAGCACGAGTAACAGAGAGAGAGACAGGAGAAAATGAAAGAGGTGGTGGGGGAAAGGGAAGGGTCAGAGAAAGGAAGAGAAGAAGGAAAAGACAAGACAGGTGGAGAGATGTATAGAAAGAAAGATGGGTTGTCATTTTTATACTGCTGTTTATTTGTGTGGGAGATAGAAAAATGTGTGTGTGTTTGTGAGTGTGCATGGCTGACCCGCTGGGATTTTAATGTACTGTATTTTTTAATATTTGTGTAATTTTTCTAATTTTTGTATCTTTAATATCTTTTTATGCATGCTTCTTAGTTAACATTAAGCTGTCGTTGGCTCTTTTCTGCTGTAGCAATGTACATGTCCCCTCTGTGGGACTAGTAAAGGTATTCTGATTCTCTGATTCAGATTTTCTTTTGATTTGCCTCTCTCTGTGTCTGACTCAATAGTTTGTTAGTTTTAGCACACATGGTCAAACTCCATAACAGTCTTTTGTTACATAGCCTTAGTGATCAGTTAAAAGACAGTGGCTTTTTCAATCATTAGGGTCCATCTGTAAATCCACCAACAAGATTTTCAGAAAGATTTCGACTTTGAAAAAAGTTTACCTGCTTTCTTTAGTTTTTGAGCATTTTAAAACAGCTTAATATACCAGTAAACTTAGACTATTTAAAAGCATTATACTTAGATACATTTAAAACTTTTAGGAGTGGATCATCCTGGTCCAAAAACGGAATGTTAGTTGGCCTCTAAGGCTGTATGAAGTACGGCCTTTCAGTTTGTAGTTGCAAAATACACCCATTCTTACACAACCGCTGTATGTGCACGCTAGTGACATACACATTCACATCCTCGCACACTTTATCTCTCACACAATCATGCATGCATACTCTCAACCGCTCGTCTTGTTTCACCCTCTCTATGTCTCTCTCTTACACACACACACATACACACACGCACCGCCATCTGGGAAAGCCGTTAGCGGTTAGCGGTAGCACTTAGCGACGCAGCACGCTCCCTCAGTCCGCTCAGTCACCTTGATCTGCTTGCCCTTCACACAGCACCATTACTGCTATACTGCATCACTGTGGGTGTGGGCATGTGAGTGTGTGTGTCAGGAAGAGTGTGTGTCTACGTATACCGACATGCATCTGTGTGTGTCCATTATAGAGCAGTACAGTGGGATGTAAATGCCGGGGGAGGAGGGGGAAAGGGGCATTACCTTCAAATGAGGTACCGTGGAGTGAAATATCACTCACTGACTAGTCTTGTGTAGGTTCTTATCCGTGCATGGACATGTAGAAATCGTATGACTATGTGTGTGTTCCTTTGGGCTTCTGATGTACATCTATGTTGGTCTTGACACTAGTGAGGATCACTTCAGCTTCTGAATATAAGAATTGAAGGCACAGCTGTGTTTCTGCTGAACAATGTCTTGTTATACATTTGCAACCAATTTTTGTTTCCTGAGTTAAGCAATTGCCATAAGTTCTTCTCAAAATCAAAAATTATTCCATCTAACTTAAAAAGTATATGACTGACCTGCACATCACCTCCGGAATCCTCTGCTGGAGGATGCACAGACTCACATTCAAACAGTCACGGGTAAAGCATAAATCCATAAATACAATCTTGGTTTGCTCAGGGGTAGAAATTGAGAGCGAAAGAGTTTCCATGTTAATCCCTTGGATAGGGATGGCAAAATCACTCTTTGTCCTTCTGATGTCATTCTTGATGTTACTTGTCAAATAATGCTTTAGAATAAATCCCCCTTCAATTTTTTCTCTCAATCTCTTATTAGCACACACAAAGAATATATTTATCGCCTGTCTTTTTTTCTATTCCTTATGGCGTCCCTTTATCCATTTATTTTTCTTTGCCTCCTAGGTCCAGGACCGGTGGACCCTCCAGCTGTTTCTGAGCTCCATCCCCGAAGTGCAATAGTAACCTGGGTTCCTCCCTCCCAACCAAATGGCATGATCACCAATTACACCTTGTACCTTTACCCGAGCTTCATCTCTTCTTTAGATTTCAAACCCAGCTCAGTCTCCAGCACCAGCACGACCCTCAGCTCCACATCAGGTCTTAACCAGAGCCTATTGCCCAGCACTGAGGCTGCACATCTCAACTCAAGTCATGACATAATTTCAACATCCGTTCCTACCACCCCAGACTCAAGACCTGTCTCCATGTCCACCATCAACACAGGCAGTAATAACAGCTCAAGCACCATCCAAGGCACAAGAACAAAACTGATCCCTAACCCTTTCTCTAGCATGAGGCCTGGTATCACAGAGGAAAACCAAATCGAGTCCACTGGTGTAAGCAATACAAGCCAAGGCCCAACTTCCATCTCCTTCCACCCAATTCAACCCAATACAGCCACTGAAAACCAAAGCTCCAGTGTTTCACTCTCACACCCTGAACCCAATGCCACCAGCTCTGAAAATATTCTAAAACAAGACTCATTCCAAAGCCCTATTTCCAGTTTATATAGTGCAGGATCAGATTCAAGTTCATCCCTTCTGTCAGTCATTGTTCCCGGGAACACCACCAGCTACACTTTCCTCGACCTGCTGCCATACCAGACCTACCGCCTCCAGGTACAATACATAAGAAATATACAAAGGTAGAACACGATAGGAGATGAACAGTGTAATATATTTAACATTAGATTATGCAATTATGAAAAAAACATTTAAATACAATAATAATGTTAAAATGAAACACATGTCAGTCTGTATTCGTCTCTTATTATGCTATGGTGAATTTAAATTCAATAATAAAAATGTTAGGCAAGGCAAGGCAAGTTAAATATATAGCACCTTTCAGCACGCGACAATTCAAAGTGCTTTACAAAATAAAATAAAAGACGTTTAAGAATAAATACAGCAGAAACACATTATATAATGGCATTTTACAACAGGCATTTAAAAAGCAAAGATAATAAATGAAACACAACACTTATACAATACATGAATAATATACAATACTAATTATAAAAGTCATGTGTTTCCGGTCACAGATGGCACTGAATTTCCTTATTCACAGAACTCTTGATTTTCCTTGTTTCCACTCGAATATGTATGGTAGCATGCCAGTGATGGTTTCCCAATTATAATTAATCATGTGCTATCATTTGGAGATGTATTAACTGCAAAGAAACATCTAGCAATATAAGTACAAAACTAAAACTGTAATATGTATATTACAATTTACTGTTGCAGTACATCAGATATTTCAACATTATTATCCAACATCTAGGTGGAGGCGTGCAGCAGTGTGGGTTGTTCAGTGTCTGAGATGTCTCAGGAATTTCGTACCCTCCCAGCTCCACCTGAAGGGGTTCCTGCGCCTCACCTTTACTCAGACACCCCCACCTCTGTTCTTTTGTCCTGGGGAGCACCGGAGTCGAACAATGGACCATTAGAGCGGTGAGATATGATCACATACATACCGCTTCAACCCCTCTATGATCTTTTTATTTATATTACATTGTGCTGGGCATAGGTGGCTGATTGAGCGAAGAGTTGCTGGGACCAAACAAGTCTCCACGGTGGGCCATCTCCCACCGGACCCTCCACCTCTGTCATTCCTGGACTCTTCTTCAGCTCTCAGTCCCTGGACCAGCTACCAGTATCGACTTGTGCTCCACAATCAGGCTGGCAATACCACCGGTAGGATCATAATAATGTCCATAAGTTGCTTTTTAGATTGCCTTTGGCCAGCTTCACAAAATGTACAGTTTTGTGTGAAACTTGAGGATTAATACTACCAGCGTTTGTTGTTTCACAGCAGGCTCTTCAACCACATTCTGTTTAATTCTTGCAGGGCCTTGGGTCAATATCACCACCAGACCTTCTCGTCCAGCCGGACTCAATCCACCAAGAGTGAAGGTTTTGGGGCCACAGTCACTTCAGGTATGGGCAGCTTTTTTTAAGCTGACTTCTCTCCAGTTCATAAAAACCTCCTGGTTTTGGCATGGCCACAATAGATTTGATCTATTCTTGATCAGCTGAACCAAAATAATGTAATCCATGTCCACCATGTTGCTATAGTTAATAATCACAATATCACTTGTTGTTTCAGGAGCTCTGTTTGAGCTTTTAGAATTGAAAACATGTCTTAGAGTAAAAATACAACGAAAGAATATAACACAACTTCAGTCACTCAGAGTAGAAAAGACAAAGCAATGTCATTCTGATTCCTCTGTCTTTCCTTCTTGGGATTTAATGAGAAAGAAAAACATTCAACTCAAGGTCCCCTTCAGAAAATAGGATGGGCTGTGACCCTGTCTGAGGAAGCTTCCTTCCTGTCGGCCATTTTGAAGGAGGGGCCACAGTTAAGTTCCACCACTGGCTAATCCCACATCAAGGCCCATCAATGAAAGCCACTGAAACAATATTGTATGCATGCACACACAGATATGCACACACACACATGCACTCATAGCCCTGCACTAATGCTAACTGCAGAAAAATGCTAATGCCTGTCATCATTTCAGAACCGCCCCTGTCATCTCTGCAGCAGCACAGCTTTAGGGGTCATAGGTCCGAGAAGAAAAGTGTTCCTTCCTGGTTGTTGCTAATTGGACAGACAGGCAGGCTGCTTCCTGGTTACCAATTGACCTTGACAACACAGACAGGATTTTTGAGTATCTCCCTTCATTCTCTAAATGGTATCTTTTTTATATCACTTCTTGCTCATAGGGGTATTCACTTTATTTTTTTACTATTTCTACCTTGTTTTTGATTTATTTTTACTACACATAGCGGTAAAAAGGCGGATGACGCAGACACTGCACAGAGGTTTGGTATAAAATCATATACAGTATCTGAAAAGGTCAGCAGTTTAACATAAGGCTTCTTCTTTGTTCTTTGTTCTTCTTGATTCTTTATTTAGGGTTTTAATAAGTTATTATTGCAGAAACAACTATTCTTACAGGGGTCCGCATATAGATTGTTTCTACCATCTAAGAGTATTTCAGTTTCTCACTTATTCTATCTCTGCCAATGTAGTTATGCCTTTGCTGATAGCTACCTAGTTAGCAGTGACGTGCGGTGAGGTTCATGGCTGGTGAGGCACTGACTCACTGAGTCAGATTTACAAATATTATATTTTGACCTTAATCGAAATATTCGGTTATTTTCAAAAGCTTTTTTAGTCTGATGCTTCGATTCATTTTAAACAGACCGTTCAACAAAAGGATACCCAAAATCTAAATATTGGATTGTTCTTTCATTTTCATTACAGTTGTGGTCTTACCTTGACTTGAAGATGAAGTCCATGCTATCCTTCTGGACAACAATCTCTATTACTTTTTTGTAAAAGTCCTCCTTATCTTCCTGTAGTTTCAAAAGTCTAGTTTGTTGTTACGTCTACCGTCTCTGCGTAGAATAACAGTAGCAACAAGAACCTGTGGGCTCACGTGCGCCCCCTTCAGTGCGGCAGAGGTTATGGCTGCCTCCCCTGGTGCATTTTCATTGCCGTTGAGACCAGCGAGCCTAAATATCATATATACGTGAAATAAGTTATTTAGAGACTATGGATGGCGAGGATAAATGTAATAAAGGGATCTACATACATTACATTGGTGACCTACAGTGAGATGGTAACAGGCATGCACTTAGGGCCCGCTTTCCAGACAGTTTCTGTGGGGTGACGCATTCTGAGGTGAGGCAGATCTCATCTGTGCCTCACTTACCCCACGGGCCGTCTCCACGGCAGCGTTAAAAAATCTTGAAACGCTTCTGCCCATTCACTTTGAATGGGGTGACGTCACTTTTTTTCGCTTTCGCCGAAATGCATTGTGGGCAGGCGAGCGGAGATTCTCAGGATTTTCAAGATCCAAAGTTGAACAATGTTCAACTTTTGAAGCTGAGGAGGAAGCGTCAGCCAATCAAATCCCGTGTACGCAAATCTGACAGTTCAAGCTCTAGCCAATCAAACGGCGTGTATGCTGGGAGAGACAGACCGCAGGTCATTTCCTCATATTCCAAAACATGGAGGAGAAATTAGCGGTAGCGAATCAATCACCCGGTGCTTTATGACCAGACCTACCGGGATATAAACCGGAGGAGCCAGGCATGGAGGGAGGTGGCAGAGACAGTGGTATGTTTTCGCCTGTTTTGGGGAGTTTATATCCAGTTTACTTCGGGCTTTTTGGCTTCATATGTCGCGGGCGGGAGATTCATGTGATTGGTTGATCGCAAAAAAATCCCCAAGCCTCAGATACGCCCACCTCCAAGATTTTTTTCACGCTGCCGTGGAGACGGCCCGTAACTGGTTTGAGCGCGCTCACAAAATAAGTGCCCGCGCTAAATTAGTGCCCGTGCTCCAGCAAGTTACTGTGGGCTTACGAGAGGCAGAGCACGTCCCTGCCTCACTTGTCATCGCTCCCGTAGCGGAGCTCGGCAAATTTGCTGATTTTGACTATAAAAAGCGATTAGAATCATACATAAATCACACTTACAACACAGATCAGTGGAGACATTTTATTATTATTACTATTTCGTTTTTCTTTAGTTGTTTTTCCGTTACATTGGAGTATGACAGGTGAGGCTCTGCCTCCCCTGCCTCCACTGACTGCACGTCGCTGCTAGTTAGTTAGTTAGTTACCTAGTTAGTTATTCTAAAGGCATATTGATACCCTTTACAGTAATACAAACCATTAATTTGATTTTGCCCATTTGGATCTGTGACCCATCAAAAAAAAAATGTCAGACAAATTCCTTGGAGTATGTTTGCAGGATGACAATATAAGTCTGCCATCGTATGGAATTGAACAAGTGTATACATGTAAAAACAGATATTGTAATTTTACTGTCAGCTGCAGAGGTTGGCACTCCTCGGGCCTTTTGAGGTTTTCTGAACATAATGGCCTACATTCAGAAAGACACACACACAAACACACACCTTTTCTCTCTCACCACCTGCTTCATCAATTCTCTCTCTCTCTCTCTCATTCACTCATATACACATAAATGCATAAACAAACACATACACACAAACACACACACACTGGCCTTAGCCCCAGTGCTCTGTGTCAGCCCCGGGTCTCTGCTGTCTTCACCATCTCCAGATTACATCAAGCTATTCAATCTGTAAATGACTTCCACCACAAAGCACACCCAACACGCACTTTGGGAAATGAGCTGCCTAACTCAACATGACCCTGCCCATATGTGGTGGTGTGTGTGTCTCTGAGTGTGCGTGTGTGTGTCTCTGAGTGTGCGTGTGTGTGTGCGTCCTGTATCACCTCACAGTGTCACTTGTTAAATGAATATCAAGGTTGCATGAGAAATAATTATTCTTGACGTTCATTCATAATACTCTCATCAACATTGACCGCTTAATCACCTGAATGCATAAGTCTCAACAAGTGCTAAACTGATCAGTTATTGTACATGACAGTTTGTCTCCATAAGTGTGTTAGAACACAGGTGTGTGTTTGGTGTTTGAGGATACGTTTGTGTGTGTAACGCAATTTTTAAATTAAGGTATAACTGTTTGTATGGGCATGTGTGTTAAAAACAACATTTATCACATAGATATCTGTCATTCAAATATGTAGAGTTGTGTGTGTGTTTATAAGGATTTGTGTGTGTGTGTGTGTGTGTGTGTGTGTGTGTGTGTGTGTGTGTGTGTGTGTGTGTGTGTGTGTGTGTGTGTGTGTGTGTGTGTGTGTGTGTGTGTGTGTGTGTGTGTGTGTGTGTGTGTGTGTGTGTGTGTGTGTGTGTGTGTGTGTGTGTGTGTGTGTGTGTGTGTGTGTGTGTGTGTGTGTGTGTGTGTGTGTGTGTGTGTGTGTGTGTGTGTGTGTGTGTGTGTGTGTGTGTGTGTGTGACCAATTGTGTGTGTGCCAGTTACCTTCATCTTCACTCTGAAATGCTGACAGACTGAACTGTTTCCAAATCAGATGCAGTGCTCAACGACAGCAAGCTTTTGTTTTTGCATGCAGCAATTCCATTACCAGCCGTTTTCATTATTTTAGCATAGTGTTTGTGCGTGTGCGCGTGTTTGTGTGTATGGGTGTACCCAGTTTTAAATTTGATGAAAGGAATCTTCTGCTGAAGTCAAAGTCAGGTTATCTTTCCCCACAAGAGAGTTTGACACACACACACTCATTCTTTAAATTCACATACCGAGGCGACAATGTACGCACGCTTGGACACTACTTTCACAATATCACTTCTAGCACTCAACTGAACACACATGCATTCCCACTGTGATGCACATATAGGTTTGCATGTGCACATCTGCAAGCTTTGCACATGCACACACATAAACACACACACAGTGTGCCATGACTTCCTGTAGTTCATCCATCTAAAAGCTTTCTGCCATCCTCAGCATGCCGAGAACATTCAGAATGTCCAGCCAACCAATGAGATGACTTTTCTGGGATAATGTTAGGACAGTGAGAAAGGATTAAATGAACTAGACCTTTGGTTTTCTGTGCACTTTAACCCTGATTATCCAAATACGATATTGTATATGAACAACCAAGAACTTTAATACAACATCCTTATCCTTATTGAATTGCAGGTCACATGGTCCCCTCCTCTTATTCCCAACGGAGAAATCCATGGCTATGAGATCCGCCTCCCAGAACCCCGCATCTTCCATGACAGTGGCAATGCTTCGGCGCTCAACATCACAATAAAGGACCTTATTCCATACACAAACTACAGTATCACTTTGTTGTCTTGTTCCAATGGCGGTGGACATGTAGGGGGATGTACAGAAAGCCTGCCCATGCCCGCTACCACATTACCCACAATCCCTGAAGGCCTTGAACCCCTGTCTGTGGTGGCAGTGAGTGAGTCCTTCCTGGCTATTTCCTGGCAACCACCAAGCAGGCCCAATGGACCTAACATCAGGTAAGATGGATAATAAACATAATCCATATCAAAGATGGCTCAGTTACATTATATGAGACCACTGAGAGATAACTGTAGATGAATGTCAACATTGTTGTTCACTATTAGTTAAATGTATATTGGTAAAACACTGATATGCAAAGATAGTAGTTATGAAAAGCCAATATAAGTAGACATTGATCAGTTTAATCATTATAACTTTGAATAACTTTATTCATTTTACATAACTTTATTCATTAGTTAAAAGAACAAAATTAGAAACCCAGCAGCCGAGACGCTACAGCATGTTGTTTTTGAGAGACACATCCTGGTGATGTTCAATTGTTGTTGAAAAACTTCAGCAAACAAGCTGATATGTACACGTTAACAAGCTGCTAACATGAGTGCCCTGGTAATGAGCTAAGTGTTGTGTATTTTTTAATCAGTGTTTTTTCAGTCCTTATGCACATTCTGGTCTGTTTTGTTCTTTCCTGTTCTACTCTGTCGGTGATTAGGCCTAAAATAAAGGTCCATTTTTCTGGCAGGCCATTAAAATGCATGAGCCCATCCCTCTGTTCTGCTCTGCTCAGCTCTGTGTGTTTGTCTAAGTGGGTTTGTTAAAAGGCGGCATTAAGCCCTTCTCTTCTGATTACAGCAGAAATTAGCATCACTGTGGGGAGAGGAAAACACAAACCCTGCAGAAAAAAAAAACAACAGAGGGAGGGGCGTCGGGAGGGAGGGGTGAGATACAGTGAACGCAAAATAATAGAGATGATGAAAAACAGCAGAAGAGGAAGAAATGAGCGATAAGCAGAAGAGTTAGTAGAAAATTGTGTTTTAAAGCGTGTTTTGTGTGTATGCATATGTTTATTGCTTTGTGGGTACAGTGTGTGTCTGTGTGCTCATGTTGGTGCATGTGGGAACATGTGTTGGGTGTTAATGCATTCCTAAACATCCAACCATGTGTGTGTGCTTTCCTTTATTCAAATTTCCCCTTCAGATACAAGTTGCTCAGACGTAAAACCCACCAGCCCCTGGCCATCGCCACGGTCCCCACGGTAACAGCCGTGTCCCCTCCCCCCTCTGAAGATCTCCATCGCTGGCTCCATGTTTACTCCGGCACCAAATTGTTCTACCAAGATAAAGGCCTAAGCAGGTGAGATTACTGAAATGAGCTCTAGAGCAAACGCCGGCGCTGCAGCAAACCGTGTGTGCAGAGCCGATCGGCGAGCTGCCGCTGATGCCGATCTTTTAATACCGCTCAAAGATACATTAAGCAAATATCCCAAAGAATTAAATTGTTTTTCACACAGCGTCCCCTAATCTCAGTTTGGCACTTGGTGAAAGCTAATTTTTTTTCCTCTCTATGCTTGCTAAACGGCTCTGGGTGTAGTCTGTTTGGGTTTGTGTCTCTACTGTGCTTTATTTCAGTATTAAACTGACAAACTTTTGAACGTGTCAGCTCTTTTCACTTTGCAGGGTTTTATTATTTATGTCCTAGGAATTACTTTATGAGAATGTAATGTTTGTTTAATAAGAAGTCACCGTACTGTATAAGCAGGATTTACAGAAACTTCTTATGGTAGATGCGACTGAAATTATTATTCCACATAAAGAGCATCACTAACAAATCCAGTATGTCTCTAAATTCCTTCGATGAAGAAAGGATTCAGGTGTACCAGGAAAGTGACTTTATTAGCTCATTTGGAATGATTGACAGAAAAATATGTATTTTTTCAGCCTTTTATTACATATTTTCCAGCTGCATTAGATGCTTTTAACTTTCAAGGAAAGTAAGATTTCTTGTAGCCATCTTATCAAAAACACCAATATTGTCTGTCAACAGATTCACCCGTTACCAGTACCAGTTAGAGGTTCATAATGACGTGGGCTACTCTTCAGGAGAGATTGTTGAGGCTGTCACCATGGCGGGGGTTCCCCACCACCCTCCATCTCTGTCTGCCCACGCTGTCAATCACACTGCTGTCCAGGTCGACTGGACACAACCCTGTAAGATCACCCTGTCTCTGAAACACACACTCTGCCCAACAAATTGTTTTCTGACTTGATAATTGCCAAAAAGTGAAAATAGAGACTAAAAACAATATATTTATTTGTTTTAACTTGTCCCTTACACTTATCTCTTCATGTGTTTTTCAGCTTTACAAGACCTACAGGGAGAGGTGGATTCATACTTTCTGACAATAGCATCTGCACAGTCAAGTCAAAATGTGACCTTTCCCCGTGAGATCATCTCCACAGTGATAAGTGATCTTTGGCCCAGCACCACATATGTGTTGTCAATTCAGGTGTCAAACGGAGCACATAATACAACAAAGGCATCAGTAAACGTCACCACAGAAGATGGAGGTAAGTGTATATTTGTGTGAAATTTGTCCAACAATTGATTTTAGAAATCAGTTAAAATGTGCTTTCTTCCTTGGATGTTATTGTGCGCAGACTCTATGTATATATGAGTGTGTCACATAGTACGTAAATTCAATACATCCAAGAGAGGGGTCTGTGTTAATGTGCATTTCTCTGCAACTCTGTGCCTCACAGGAGATGTTAAACACATCATGTAGTGAGGCATGAAATCAATACAAAGTGTGTGTGTGAGGCAGATTTAAGGTGTTGTAAAATGCTTGTTGGCACCACAGGCAGACAAACGCTTGCAAACTGCACACATAGCTACACACACACATGCAGTATTTTACCTGTCAAACAAGACAGCAAACATGGCTGTTCCCATGTGTAATGCAGCCCATAATTACTGTACTCAATACAATTACAATACATCACTCAATCTGTAATATGATTTATATGTTTTAAATAAATCTATGAAAAATAAATACAAGTGAAATCATAGACATCCCTCTGTCTTCCACCTATGCAAGGGTCATCAATATAACACATTGTTAAAAGAGCTTAAGCTGTCTCTGCATCATTTGACAATATTTGTATAATTAACCACTGACATTGTTTATCAGAGTGTAAAATCTGCAGCTTTGGGAGGGTGTATTAAATACAATATGGAAAAAGAATATCAGTTCTCCAATCTACTGGTATTCCACTTTTCAGGCAGGGTTGGCTTTTATATTTAGTTGTGAATTGCACAGGCTATCCAACTATCATCACGACTTTTCTCTCCATTTCCCTTTCCAACTTCCAGTCTCTCAGAATTCAAGAGTTAGCTTTCAAATAAATCGATGTAATTATATGTCAGAGGCCGTGCACTCTTTCTGTTGTTTTCTTTCTGTCTACTTTTCTTTTCTCAATCACTCTTTCTGTCTATCTCTGTCTCTTTCCCCCCCCCTCACATTTCTATTTCTTTCTCAATATGATCATATGTCAGAGGCCTCTCTCCTTCCCTCTAATCTGAGCAGTATAATAAAAAGTGCATTAAAAACATTAGAAAATCATTAGGTGCTAAAGGCAAAGCACGGCTCGTTTAACTGAGAGGGCTCTGGAGGTAATTTCATTATTTTACAGCCATAAGAGTGCACACACACACACACACATACACACACATAGACAAAGGCCAAATATATTTTACCTAATGCAGCTCAACCCTACCAACCGTCCTAACACGGCCTGCCATCTATAGGGCATCAGGACTAATTGGCAAGAAAAATGAGCGAGCGTCTGTGTGTGTATGAGTGAAAGAGGCTCAGTGTGCAGTATTGCGTTGATAATGCCATCCTGCAGTAAATGAAATGTAGAGCAGTAGGTTGGGTTAAGGTAAGTGCATTGGCAGCAAATGAATTGGGTTAACTTCTCTTAGCTGAGTGCATTTTCACTTAGAATAATAGATGGAGTCTGTATGATTACCTTCTCACGCACCATCTCTCGTATTATTTCCTTCTGTTTGGTTCTCTTTCCTATTTTCAACACAAAACTTGATCCCCATTGTTAAAAAAAAGTTAAGTTTAAGGATATTCTGTCTCCTTTTTCCCACTGTTCTACTTTAAACTTGTGCACACTGTATATCTTCTTTCACAGATTATCTGTACTTGTCCTCTATTTGTCAGATTTTCCAGTGTCCTTCACTGACTGTCTCATTCACTCCTTCCTTTTTGCCTCTGTATCTGCAACTCATGTCCTATAGGGTAGCCACATTATATTAATCACCATAGGAGTTTTTGGTTTAGTATCATTGTCCTCTGTGGATGTGCTGAAAGGATTTCTTGGAGGACTGATCTAAGGGAATTAAAGGAAGACAGGGAAATTGATTGACAGGACATGTAGGAAACAGAATGAATATAATAACACAACACAGGAAGATAGAGAGTGTCATTCACTTCTGCCTATAAGAAAGAGAAAAAGTGCGGGGGCGAGCTGATCGTGCAGAATCAATCTATTACTCTTAGTGAAAATGCACTCAGGTAAGTGAAGTTAATCCAATTCATTTTCTGCCACGGCACCTACCTAGTATACCCAGCCCACTGCTCTACATTTCATTTACTGCTAGATAGCATTATCAAGAATATACTCTACGGACACACAGGTGGTCTCCCTCCCTCACTGACACTCAGACTCACATTAAGCCTTGGTATGATCTAGATTTGCCCTTTGTGATAACTGTTGTGATAACTTCTGTCACTATATGGCGCTATTTACATAAAACTTGACGTAAATGCACTGTTTTCTCTGTTTGTCACACACACATTACTATAAGCTGTGTGTCCATCTATATTTCCTTCCCTTTCACATACTCATGTATAAACATACCTCAAGTAAGGGATGGTTAAACATGTAGGCCTACTGTAGATCGAGAATGTTACATGTCTGTTATAAAACATCATCAGTTGGGGACCAGAAAGTCACAATATATCATTTTAATATGGCCAATTTATTACTTTCACAAGCCTGTCTGAGTGATAGGTTTTTTGTATAAAACAAAATGACAAGCACTGTGCAAGCACTTTGTGTGAAAACATGTCTGGGAAAATCCTAATAACAATCCCATATTTTGCAACCATGTGTTGACATTACAGGCATCTCTCAAGATACTCTAAAAGCTTACTTTTGCTGGTCCGCTGCAACTCTGACTACTTTTAAATCCAGGCTGAAGACTTTTCTTTTTGCCGCTGCTTTTAATTGAACTATTCATATCTTAAACTGCACTGTAACTTGTATTCATGTATTTTTTCTTTTAATGTTTATTTTATTATCTTTGCTTTTGAATGACTGTTTTTGAATGCCATTTTCTTAATGTTTTTCATTTTTGTAAAGCACTTTTAATTGCCTTGTGTTGAAAGGTGCTATATAGATAAACTTGCCTTGCCTTGCCTTGCCTTACTTTTGTTTGGTAGAGAACAGTTTCATACCACAACCTCACCATGCATGTTTGAGGGTGACCATGTCTAATTTCTTTGTATTCCTGCCTATTAACGCCCTGTTCTTTAAGAATCAAACTACTTTGTGTCTCTGTTCTCACATGTGCCATCCTCAGAGCCAGAAGGGATGTCGGCCCCAGAGGTGGTTCCAGTTAACAGCAGCACAGTGCGTGTGCTCTGGTTCCCTCCTCTACAGCCCAATGGAGCAGTCACTGGTTACTACATCTACCTGAATGACCTTCTTCATGGCAGCGTAGACAACAGCTCAGGATCCTACCTGCTCGGAGACCTGCTGCCTTTTACTGTCTACAACGTACAGGTACACACACAATCAAAGAATATTGAAACACCTAGATGCAGACACAGAGGCATGTGCATTATGTTTTCTTCTGCTGCGTTTGTGTATTTCAGGTAGAGGTGTGTACTGTGTATGCATGTGTGCGGAGTAATGTTACTCAAACCACCACTGTGGAGGACCTGCCTGCCGACCTGGCCACGCCGCACGCACATGTGATCAGTCCCAGGTAATACAGATTGTGCTGAAAATATGTATCTTTTCAATTTCACTTTCTGCGTGTCCTCTTTACCATTGTGCTAGGTTTGGAAACTTTATAGCCTGTAGAAATTGTTAATGTTTATTGGCAGTGCAAACAGAGTCAATACATGTTATTATTGTGTCTTCTTAAGGCAGCACAATATGTGAGATTGTGTGCATCAGGACATTAAATACTGTGTTATTGCTTAATTTCAGTTAAACTAAAACTCTGTGGGCAAAGGGCCTACAACTTTTAGTAATGTCCCTTGCTTAAAAACATATAGCCCTTGAAGACACAGTGATTGTTTATTCATTTTCAGTAGTATTTTGAGATTGAAATAATAATATAAGTCATTTCTGATTAACAGTTTAGTTTGTTTAACATACATATTTCATTATATTGTTTTAGTTTATAATTAGACTACATTATCTAATATTACATTAAAGGTGGGGTAGGTAATTTTGGAGAAACCAGCTCGAGTGCGCTAGAATTTCCGTACAGAGCCCCTCCTCCAACACACACGAACGCGCACATGACCAATGAGGGCACGAGATAAGTTTGTGCACAGATGGAAGGCTGACAGGCAGGTAGGCCATCCAGTTATTTTAGCCGGGCTGGCTCAGATGATTGGTCGTGCTTTTTACAGTACTACGGCTTCCACAGATGACATTTTTTTATGGATTTTTTGTCAAAGCACTTAAGATATTCATTGCTATCGGGATGTTAAGAGCATTCCATGGAATATAACAAAAAGTGTATCTCGAGCCGGTTTCTCAAACTTACCTACCCCACCTTTAAGTTGCTTTCAAAAAATAATAACATATGATGTAAAACTAATGACATTCAAAATGCTCTGCTTTCCATGTTTGACCTAAATCTTAATGTTGCAAATCTTCCAGTTGTGGAGGAAGTGGTGATTTGTGGCTTTCCTCCTGTCCAGGAGACTGTGGAAGTTGTAACTCTGTATGTAACTACACAGGTCTTTCCCCTGCCAAAGATGTCAGAGATAAAAAAAGAGTAAAATCAATAGTGAGAAGTATATAAAGACATACACACACACTGACACTGTAACTCAACTTTGTCAGGCATTAACCATGCATGAATGCAAGTGTGTGTGTTTGGGTATGACAACGTTTGTGTGTGCCTCCTGGTGTGAAAGGAGTGTGAAGGATAACATACCACCATCTCTCTCTCTCAGAGTGGTGAGGTTGGACTGGTCTGGTCCAGGCAGACCCAGTGGGATCATGCTGGGCTATGATGTCCTAAGACGGACCCTGAGGTCATGTGCCGTCACGTCAACAGGGGTCACTGCGGGGGAAGGGTCAGGTGGTGTAAAGTTCAGATGTTCATACCTGCAGTGTCCTGCCTTGCATGGTGTGTGTGGGACGTCCTGCTTCCATCCTGACACTCAGGTGATTATGTTCTGGACAATTTATTATATATGAGGCTATGGAATTCATTCAGTTGTTTATTGTCTACTAATCACATGCACTTTGCATGGACAATAATGCATTAACTATGCTGAAATAATTAAAGGAACAAAATATACAGGTTAAATACAGCAATGATTGTTCTGGGTACTGCATTTTTCACTTCCTAAGTTATAAAGGTGTTTTTTTTGTCTGTAATACATATTAATTACTTTGCGAGACATAACACTACATTAAATTCGATTGACAATGTTTTGACAAGCACCTGCTCTGCTTTTTTGCTTTTTAATCTTTCTTTTTCCATAATCCTCTCTCTGCCCTTTTCACCTGAATCCAAGAGCCTCTTTACACTAGACCACGTCATGAGTAATCTCTAAAACCTTAACTGTTCAACAAAAACATTGTGTAATACAAGATAGAAAGTCAGGGGTCTTTACTTTGTCTACTCGCTCAGGATATTACAGAAACACATGCAAATAAACATGGAGACCCACAGACAAATGCACACTCTCACATTTCCACTTCTAAGAGCATGCTATTTCAGTGGGATGCACGGTCATCCTTCCAGCGATTAATTTCTCTTAACAGATTAACTTGTCATTACATTGAATGCAGCCAAGTTGGCATTGTGAAATGTACCCCTGCAGCACCCAATGGCATGGACAATTACAACATTCAAGCTCACATGTACAGCACAAATATAAACATATACAACTACCTAAGAAAATAAAAGCTATACTAAAAACATGTCATCATATAAACCTCCTCCATGTATACCAGTGGGGCCTTAAATAGGACAATTCCCCGTCATGATCAGACGGACACCATTTTGTCAGATAGTCCCATGTTTTCAATGCAAACACATCATTTTGTTTAACTTCACAAACTTTCTTAAATGTGTGTGTCCACCAGGTTTGCTGCAGTGGATTATTGAACACTAAGAAAGCACATCATCATTGCTGCGAGGGCAGTTACCTGACTTTGAGTAATTCCTCCAGTCCAGTCTGCTGCAATGGCAAACTGCTCCCAGCTCTCCCTGACCACCAGTGCTGTGGAGGATACTATGTTCATGTAAAAAACAGTGAGTGTCAAAACACTTCATACATAAATGGGATTTGCTCTTTTCTACTTGACTTGAGTCTAATCTTTTCCATGTCGTTCAAGGGTTTCCTTCATCTGTCTTTGTCTTTGTAGATGAGAACTGCTGCCCTGACCCCTCGCAGGGCCGGGTCTCTGTGGGGATGGGTGACAGCTGCTGTGGGGGGGTTCCTTACTCCACAAAAGGCGGTCAGCTCTGCTGTCGTGGGAGCCTCCATGACGGCTATGGGGTACGATGCTGTGGAGGCCAGATTGTAGATGATACACTGGTGTGCTGCGATGATGCCCAGAGGGGGGAAGTGCATATATATACCCCAGGTGAGTGATGGAAACACAGAGACAAGCAGAGTCATCCACTGCTGTTCAAAAGTATTTTTTTGTGGGGTTGTCAAAATATTCTGCACTGAATTTGTTGTCCTAATAATGAACATTTTGATGAAGTTTAATGGGATGCTGAGGGTTTAAGTGTTTGTCTTCAGAAGAGCCTACAATAAAAAGGCCCTTTTTTCAGTAAAGTAGTTATTCTGACCCAAAACAAAAGTGTAATTCATGGTGGCTTCTTAGTCTTTATCAGGGGATAAGATATAATATCATAGGACAAGAGAGTGAAGCAAAGAGATTTGAGGTAGACACATGGTGCAGGTACGCGGGGTCGTTTCCCTTTCTTCCTCTCCCGCAGTGTCCCAAAGCACCCGGATACCATGGCACAGATGGGACTGTGCATGTGTGTGTGTGTGTGGTTGCGGGTGTATGTGTGTGTCATTAGACATCTTTGTCATGGCAGATGATGATGAAACACACTCGGTATGGCACCGTTGAGGGCACTGCCAAGCACACAGCAGGACAAATACACACTCATTCTCTCTCCTTCACACAAACACACACACAAACACACACAAAGTCAACAGGGTGCCCTCGGCAGGGTTTGCTTAGTGTTGAGTGCCAGAGACAGACACGTGGACTCTATTCATCACACATAAACAATGGCCCATATGGACAGGCCTATAGTACTACATTAGCCTTTCAGCAAACACACACTGACACACACTGACACACACACACACACACACACACACACACACACACACGCGCACAAGATCCATACCCACCCAAAAATACATGCGTTCGGACAAAAACAGTTAATAGAAAGCAAGAAAGCAGAAAAACAATGCTTGTTTTTTATTTCATGGCCGTTATCATTTGTATATTCCCTTAGTATATATGTATACTGTATATTTTTTGCATTTTTTCTTTTCATGGAACTGAACAAGACTCTTTTATAGTTTTAACTCTGAAACTCTGATCTCACATACAGGTAATTTAATTGAACATGTTATTTAAGAGTATTCTACTCAATCACATCCAAACTGTTCCCTTTTATTCTCCTTAACTAGATCCTCTTATCCCTTACCCCTAAGCATGCTATATGGTCATCCTTCATCTGAGGTAGCCTCCCAAGGAGTGCATATGCTCGCTCCCTCTTCCTCTCCATCTCCTTTTGTTATTTATTTCCCATCTCCTCTGCTCCTTTGTCATCTTCTAACTTACTTTTCATCAACTTGTTTCTCCATCTCCTCTATGTTTTACCCTGGCCTCTTGCCCCCCCTTTCTCCCCCAACCACCTTCCCTTTCACCCCTCCTTTTCTTTATGTGCCCCCTTCCCATCCACTCATCAGTCATTAGCGTTAGCTTCCCCATTGAGAACATATGGTATGATGGATCGTAGGGCTAGCGGCGCTAGCAAGGCTAAGGGCCATTTCGCCGAGCACTGCGCTGTCGGGGAGCCTTGGGGCCGGCTATGCAACCTCGACCCCACACGTCTGTTTCAAGACACTCACACTAACACACACTAACACACACAAAATACACACAGCAACACCTATTATAGGATATGCTACTTAACCTTGGCATCACTCTCATTGCTGCCTCTCACTTTTTCAAGGGTTTTGTAGTTTCATGATATAGATAGTGAAAGACGGATTTGTGCAAGCAAGAAAATAGAAAGAAAGAAAAGCAAGCTAGAGAAGATTTCATGCAGTTTTATTAAAAATAAATGATAGTTTATATCGAAAAATAAATGATAGTTTAAATAAAAAAATTAAGTTTTCATAAAAAGCTGACAGAAAGAATATAGTGATGACTACAAAGAAAGTACAATTTCATACAAACAATGAGAGACATTTAAAATAAATAAAAATGTAAAATTAAACAGAAAATGTTAAAAAACAAGATAAGAAAAGAAAGACAGGATTTAAAAAGCTAAATATTCTTCATATAAAGGAAACTTAAAAAACCGAAACACAGGGAAAGTGAGAGAAAAAACCCAGATAGAACAGAAGAGTGGTGAAGAGCTAGATGGAGCAGATTAAAGGAGGAGTGAAGGGTATCCCATTGTGCCCAGCTGATAGACTAGGTTAGGCTGATGTGATTATGGGGTCCCTGAAGTGCGATCTATCACACATTACCGTCCACACTGTCAACAACCATACACACACACTGCAGGGGAACAGCAATGCCGGGAGACAGCCGTCTGGCAACAGATACACGTACCGGCTTGGCTGCACATGTGCACACGTACACACACACTACCACAGCCACACTCACATAGCATGCATGTGAACGCACACTGAATGAAATCCTCCAAGAACACTCAGACAAAAAAGAATCAACACACTCACACACAGACACACACTATTTGAAACAGGAAAGCAGTATAAATTAGGGGAAATAGAATCAGGGTTTGAAACATCATCCAACCTGTCCCAAAGACAAGAAACAAACACAAAGCTGAGCCCAGTGAAAGTGATCCTCTTACAAAGTTAGTTGGGTTTAACTAAGTTTATATAATTCCTGTCCACATTACTCCAATTATAAACAGTGGTTTCTCTCAATAGTTCTTGATCCACATCTGATAGAACATATTTCAGTTTAAATATGTAAACCAACCAACTAATAGCTTACAATTTCTATTTTAAGGCTTCAAATCTATTTTCCTCCAATTTACAGTTTGAGCCTAACTTGGGAGGCCACCTCAATAAATTGTGCATAAAAGATTCTACCTACACGTGCCTTTAAACCCACCTTGTCATAAAACACTAAAATACATAACCAATTTCAAATGGCGGGCCTTGTTTCTATTCTGCCCAGTTTTAGTCTTTTGGGTATTATTGAGATGGTCTCTATAATCCCTTCTTCAGCGTTCTCTAGTTGTGATAAAATAACACAAAGTATCCATGCTTAATCCCTCCCTTCCAAATCTGACAGTTTGTTTAAACAGCTTTCATTTCACTTTCAAGTAGATTAAATAGTGTTTGTTTTTGGACAGGAGTGCCTTAGTTTTCTTGCAGCATTTCCTCCTGTGTTGCAGGTTCGAGACCAACTTTTAAGCTCCGAATTTGCTCTCTTTTCTTCTCTCTCAGCGTTTTGTATGTAAGATGTTTAGCTAAGACTTAGGTAAGATTAGATGGTGTTTAACGGATCGTGTGTGGTGTCTTTGGCCTCCCGTTGCTCCCTGACTCTCCCAAAGTCCCCTGCCTCCCTATGTGCGCTCCACTAATCATTTGCCCTCACACTTTGTCTTCATAGTGTACTGTTTTTTAACTCTTCCATCTGCCCTTCAACCCCACCTTCCCCATTTCTCACTGTGGGTGCTACCATAACTGTCCCCTCCCCCCCACCTCACTTTTTAAGTGGATCTAAAAAATGTATGCATTTCTTTTAACTCCTTCCCTTACTCCCCTCCCTCTGTCCCAGCCCAGCAGGGCCCATCCAAACGTTCAAGGACGAATCTGAATATCCCTTTTCACCGTTTAAGTGTTAAAAGCCTGGCGGTGCTGGGGTGTTATCTTAACGCGCCTTGCCGTGCCATCATCAGAGCGCGTGATGAAAATGGCTGTGATGATGCTAAAAGAAAAAAAGAGGAGGGGGAGAAAAAGTAATAATCAAATATGTTTTTCAAGGGCACAGTGACCATTTGCTGGAGGGAAATTATCCCAGTAGTTAAGCTAGCTCACTCAGAGGCTGGCGGAGTTGTGAGAGTGGATGCGTTTGTGTGTACAAGTGTGTGCAAGTGTCTGTGTTTTATTACTTTAAGTTGGTGCATGCATGTTTCACTTTCTGTATGTGGCTGTCAGATTCTCTATATGTATCTGAATGTGCATTTTTACATGTTTCTCTTTGCTGAGAGACTCGTATGTCCTTTCATTGTTTCTGCCAAAATATTCTCATCAGTTTCTGTGTGTGTATGTATTTCTGTTGTGTGTGTGTGTGTGTGTTTATCATTGCCAAAAGGCCCTCATCAATGATGGGTAGCAAATGGCAAACAGTAGTGCATTCCAAACAGCAGCGTCTGGCTGCTTTAGAAGATCGAGTACTCTCTGAACACAGGAAGACATTTCTCTCTCTGTTAATGTATTTATGATGATGGTTTCTCTATTAGGTTTACTTTAATGACTGGCAAGAAAAATAACAGAGGGTGTCAGGAGCATTGAGGTGTGTGTGTGTGTGTGTGTGTGTGTGTGTGTGTGTGTGTGTGTGTGTGTGTGTGTGTGTGTGTGTGTGTGTGTGTGTGTGTGTGTGTGTGTGTGTGTGTGTGTGTGTGTGTGTGTGTGTGTGTGTGTGTGTGTGTGTGTGTGTGTGTGTGTGTGTGTGGTGTGTGTGTGTGTGTGTGTGTGTGTGTGTGTGTGTGTGTGTGTGTGTGTGTGTGTGTGTGTGTGTGTGTGTGTGTGTGTGTGTGTGTGTGTGTGTGTGTGTGTGTGTGTGTGTGTGTGTGTGTGTGTGTGTGTGTGTGTGTGTGTGGGCACGGGTGGGTGTGCAACAACAGTATTGTTCCGTTGGTATACATACTTAGGCTTAAACTTTACATTGTATGTAGTAAAAAGGGCTGATAATCAGACTCAACTTTACGTCAGAGGCAGAGTCATTTTCCTGCTTCTGTCATGTGGGTTTCGCCTCTTTGGAGAACTATGAGCAAAGATTATGATCAATTATTTCTGCCAATAGTCACCAAAGTACATTTTGGAAGTATCATTCACAAGCCAAATATCTTCCAAACTAAAATAGCATTTTTCCGAAAGAGAAATCAAGAGAAGATTAACTGTTCAAGACCAATTCTAATTATTTAATTTGTTCTTTCGGATATTCCTTGCCTTGCATTGTCTCCAGTCTCCTGCTAAATGTTATACTGTGGTTTATTCTGACACAGATTAGTCCATCACCCTTTAAAAAAGCAGGATGTTTTTTCCACTGGAGATACACCCAAGACTTTGAACCATTTAAATAGACATATAGGTAATAAAGAATCTCTACTTGCTGGCCAG